CTGAGGAACGTTTGGCCTCTCACAAAATCTAACCCGACCGTTGAGAAACGTTCTGCGCAACAGTGACCGCCGTGCTGCGGCACGCACCTTATTTTCTGCTTGTCACTCGTGAAAGAAAACAAGTGCTGACTGGCAGCCACCAGGCGTGGAAAACATGACCCTTAGTTACGGCTTTTACCGAAAGCTGACCCAAGAGTGCAATATTTTTAAAAGGCAAGAGACTGGTCAACTAAAAGAGAGCAGAAGTGGTGTCCTAGACAGTCATGCACTGCTGGAGTCTCCTGTGATGGAGTCAGCGCTTCTTTTGCCTAAGAATAGCTGTCGGCTGCTGCGGTGAGTTCACAGAGCCTGAAAGAAGCAGCTACAGACAGATTGTATGATTCATTTCAACAGTTCCAGGGTCATCCTACACTGATCAAAGGTTACGGCAAAGGAGGAAAGCAGGCAGGAATCTGGAGTTAAACACTCGTTGATCTTTAATGTTCAAATGTCAGATTATTATTTAAAAGTTTGGGTACGGTAAGAATTTTTAGTGTTCTTGAAAAAAAAGTATTTTATGCTAACCAAGGCTGCATTTATTTGACCAAAGGTACAGTAAAAACAGTAATATTATGAAATACTATTACAATTTAAAATAGCCGTTTTCTGTTTAAATATATTTTAAAATTTAATTTATTCCTGTGATGCAAAGCTGAATTTATAGCATCATTACGCCAGTCTTCAGTGTCACATGATCCTTCAGAAATAATTCTAATATGCTGATTTACTGCTCAAGAATCATTTCTTATTATTACTAGTGTTGAAAACAGTTGAACAGTTGTGCTGCTTAATGTTTTTGTGAAAACCATGATACATTATTTTCAGGTAATAATAATAATAATAATAATAATTATTATTATTATTATTGTTGTTGTTGTTGAATCCTCAAAAATAACTATTTTTGAATAATATTAAAAATGATGATGATTCCTTATGAATTTGTATCTTGTTTATGCATTACCTGACTAGTTAAATTAGAATTTGTCTTTGTATGCATTCGTCCCTCAATGTTCTGTTGTTCTGTCATAGGTTATTACATTTTAATTTATTTTATTATTGTAATTATCTTTTTTTCTTTTCTTCGTTGTCGCTGTTCTGTTTGTTCTGTGAAAAAGCCAAAACACTCAAATAAATGTTAATGAAAAATTATATTATATATATATAAAAAATGATAATGATGTTATATGATTAATATTATAATTATATAAAATATATATCCTACCTTTCCTTTTTTTCTGGGAGAAAAATGTTAACGAATATTAGACTTGTTAGCAAGTATTTTCCAGAGCTGTTTTTCTTTCATTTAGAGAGTGAGAAATAGAAAAACATATAGATTTCGTGTGGTGCCGTGAGGTCATTTTAATGTGTACCTATTTTTCAGCAACTTTAAAACATTTGTAAGCCTTATCACCTCTTGCATCAGCCCTCCTACTCACCCCATCGCCAAAAATGTGTGCAGAAAAAAACCCGGGTTTTGAGTAAAAGTAAAACCCCAAACAGCAGCGCTGCATTAAACATCATCAGACTCGGACAGACTCCTGTGTGTGACTGCTCCGTCTGGCCCGAGTAATTCAAGCTTGGAGAGGACACCCATCTAAAAAAAAATACGGCCCGCTATTATTCAGCCTTAAGGAAGGAATAATAAAAAGGGGAAAAGAAAGGCAATCCATCAGCCATCTAAATCAGCTGACATCCCCAGGTCTCCCCGCGCTGTAGGTGGCTGCGCTGCAGCTCGGCGTCTGATAACATCAGTGAGAAGTTAAACAAAAGGCATTTTTCCCTCAAACCGGCCATCTTTCAGCTTGACTACTGCTGTAAACATCATTCCAGAACACAACATTATGAGACATCTTACCCTACATTCCTGATCCTCCTTTTTAAAGGGAGAGTGAAGTCTCAGAGCTTTGCCAAAAGAAGACTCCTAAGAGCTTGGAGACACACGGAGGGGGAGAGTTAGGCCTACAGCGTTTAAAAAATGTACCACCATCCCGACAGCGAGTTTTGCTCGAGAGCTCTCGGTTTCACCTTCGAGTCTGTTATTGACACATCGAGAATTAGAATAAATTCTCTCTAGTGGCTCATGCAGACTGTCTAATGAGCTCGCTGTCATCCGCAGAAGTAATTTCTCCCAGAACAAGGTTTCATACCAGAAGTTTTGGAAATCCATTTGGAAAAGGAATAGTTCCATTGACCTTAATACCTTTCCGAACATTCTCTTTGAGCATTCCTTCACTCCCTTCGGTTCTAATTGATTTCATAAAAGCGGTAATATGTAAAAGCGAGGAGGGGCTCTGTTGATATAACCTTGAATCTAAATGATCCTTGAATCCCCATGTTGTCTGAGAAACTCTTCACTGTCTTTAAACGCCTCATAACTTCCCCATGACACATTTTCTGGACCGTGTCTTCAACTTCCACAGAGCAATTCGCCTCTTTGTCTAGTGTCCTATGGCAAATTATCAACCGTAACCTCTGCGTCAAAAGCCAACTCCCTTGTGCTGCGTTTAGCACGCTTCGGACACCTAGTAGTTACGGCCGTCTAAGAACATATTCACACATGCGTGGGCCTGTTGAATGTGTTTCAAGACCCATCTTCTTCTCTAAAAGCTCTTTTCTTTATTATGCAATCAGTCACAGTCAGAGTGAAGATTGACTTGCATCAAGTTAAGCAAAGCTCCAAATTTGGGTCTTCAAATCTTCAATGCTTACTAATAAACTATACACAAGTCTGGGTTTTGGTAAATTAATAAATGAGATATTATGATTTGCATAGAATTAAAGCCTAATACACAGTCTTATACTTAAGTCTTATGTCTGCTTGGGATGCAATAATGATTCATTTTATTGCATTATTCTGCTGATTAATTGTGTCTGGTTGAAAATGAAAAAATAAAAAATGAAATGACAACAGTTCTTGAATAGTTTTAACAAGAATAATTATCTGACATTTTCCTTTAAAAAAAATATGGGAATAAATCACAGCTGGGAACACTATTTTTTCATGGCACTGAATGTGAGTGTTTAGCATCCCAGTTGCTACATTCTCTCTCTCTCTCGCTGTCTGTCTCAGTCTATAGATTTCAGTGTTATGTATCTGGAGATACATATGCTAATGAAGAGTTCGTGCTTGTAAAGATGAAGGATATGCAACAGTTATCTGGAAATATACAGGAGCAAAGATCGCAACAAGCTAAATAATGTTCCAGTCTTCACATAATATATTTTAAAAGACCTACGGATTTATGGGATCATCAAACCTAAATTTTCAAATTTGAATCAAACATTTGAATATTTAAATTACAGTGTTGTTTTTGATGTATCTGTGAATTTGCCCCATAGTTTTCCATTGCTTTCCAATGCAATTGCCAACACTGCAACGAATGAATGATTCTCTAACTCAGTGTTTTTCTCTTTGTTTTCCAGTACAAATACCTCAACATTCTTAAATCAAGCTATATTAACTGAAGAAGAGCAATGACTTAAGATATTAAGTCCTGTTTTTTTTTAAATGCATCAAAAGGAAGAGTTTATGCTTAAATACAGAAAATGTACCTGTCAAAATTGAGGAAGAAAGTCATTTTTTGCAGTGCATTACAGCTTGACAGATACTTCTAAACTGTAAACAGTGAATTAGTTGTTTTCAATGACACATTACACTAAAAGGTGTCTTTTGACCCACACATTTGATTATGAAATCACACTGCAACTGTCTACAGCAGCAGGTACTGTAGGTAGCATGTAATGCAACACTCAATTTCTAGCACACCTAATATTGTTCATCATACATCCAAATATACGAACGCCACAAAAACAGTAATAACATATATTCATTTTCCATATATAGTCCTCTTTTTATTATTATTAACAGAGGTCAAATAAATTCATCAAGTCATATTTACAGAGAAAGGCAATAAATATTTAATAATAGTAATAAAATTATTATTTTTGCATACATTTATTTAATCGTACGAGTGGCATGATTGTTAGTAACGTCTGACAGACGATGAGTATATAGACGAGTGTATACTACAGCTATACCCATATAGAGAGTCGACCTCACCAACAGTGGCTGGAGTCCAGCATCTGCAGAAGGGATTTCTTCTGTCTCAAACCTTCTAGAACTGAGAGAAAGCGTTCTAGAACACAAAGGACATGACTGATTGTCAGGCGGACCAATTTCATTGGCTGAGTGACCTGGAAGTAGTCAAAATTCGATACTTGTTGAGTGTCCGGGACATTAAGAGCGATGCATCATACCTGGTTTTGCATTACATATTTTGGTAGCTTACATTTAGGGTGACGGCATAATCAGCATGTACACATGATCCCCCTCTTTTTAAAACCCTATTTATTATCATTTCACAATATATGCATCTCAAAATAGTTTCAAAGTTTGATTAAAAACTGATCTGCAGTTTACACATCTGCTATAAAACTATTGTATGACAAGACGCCTTCTCGTCTTACAAAGCATAATGTTTTTAAAAGAATGACCAGCTTTTGCCAACAAGACACAATAATTGGGCCCTTCAACTTAGGGTCAGTTCAAAACAAGCCAGTGAAGCACGTAATGTCCTATTCATGGCAAATGTAGGGGGTGTTGGTCTTTCCACTAAGATTTGTTTGTGGTATGGCAGTTACAAGGACTTGGAAAAAGGACAATTTTAACTTCAAACAGCCAGCCTCAATATTTCATTTTTGTTTGAATAGATGGTATGAAAATATGTGTTGACTGGCTCCATTATATAACCATCATGAGTTGGTTGCAGTAGCAGTGGTTTTGGTCTCAACTACAAACTCATACATCAAGTTGACATTCACTAAACATGCAATACACGAGTAATCATATTCATAACTGCAATTATAAACAAGATAAATGTCAATCAAAAGCATACACACAGGAACCAAAAACAATTTCGTTACATTCATATCGTAGTTTAATGTGGCCCAAACCTGTTTTTTTATACCTGTTTGCAAGACAGTGAAAACAGCAAATAATATTTGAATAGGATATTTTTAGTTCCGATGTGTGATAGTAAACATACCTTTCCAATAATTTTGCCGTTCTTGTTCATGCAGATGTAGTATCCACTCTCTTTCCCTTTTATTCGAATATGACTCCCGAATGTCTCCGTTTCCACAACAAGTAAAGCTGCGGGTAAAAATAAACACAGTTTACTTTGAGTTCATGAAGGCAATATGATGCTCATAGAATTAAATACATTTTGTTAGAAATAAACTCCTAAAACGTACTATTTCTGTGTGAATTTGTTAAGAACACACATGAGTCATAGTTCACATAAAAAAATTTTTTTTTTTTAAATAAATAAAATCATTGTCTTCTGTAAAATATATATTTTATTTTAAGACCATTTAGATTTTTATTTAATTGTAATTTACACTATTTCTGACAATTTCCAACAAATTCTCTTTACTTTTTAATGTCAAAAACACACACACACACATATATATATATATATATATATATATATATATATATATATACAAATATATTATATTAAACATTATTTTAAAACATTATTATTATTATTTTAATAATTGCCATGCACATATTAGTCACTTGTTTTACTAGTTACTATTTATTATTTTATGTAGCTGTATGAGAAACAAAAAAACTACTTTCATGTATTCATGTACATGATATACTATACTTTTTTATTCAAAACTACATTTGGCATGTGAATTAAAAAAAAAAACTGTGAGAGAAACGTAATGATTCATCATACACTACAGCTCCCTCACAACCCCTAAAAAACACCCAACTCTCTCTCTTTCTCTCTGTAACCACCTTTGTTAAGGGTCCCTCTCTTGGGGGGGAAGCAATCTGCCAAACTCCTTGGAGCAGTTCAGATCCCCAGGGATTGGGTTTCCACTTGCCTTTAGTTCGTGCTCACTCAATCAAAAAGTTAGGATGATCCATTTGTTTAACACACTGGGCTATTCAAAGGTGCTCAAAGCAGAGAGGCTTAGAGAGTAACACCAAAACTGTCCCCTTCCAAAACAGCCCGGGGCAACATGAGAGGAACGACTAATCCAGGCAGGGCACTTGAGATCAAATGAGGGTGGGAAAGATCTCGCTCCTCAGTGGCGCAGACCCCTTTAACAAGTGCATGACGTTTTGAAAGATATGCCTGAGAAATACAGCAAATATTCCTGTATTTAAATGAACTCTGTACCTAAAAACCGAATGCTTAAAGCAGTCAGCCCACCATCTGTGCATCTCTCACTCCAGCTGAATTCTTACTGGTGCAGCTTATTAATATTAAAGCACAGATGTCAACCGGACAGACTGACCTTCAGTAATGTGAATGTTTTATTATCCCAAACAGGGGTGAAACTGAAGACATTTTTGAGATGTTTCTGGGAAGGCGAGTGTTTGCTGATAAATGAGCCATACGAGTGCAAGACCTGATCCAGCAGTGTGTTCAAATAGAAGACGCAGGGTTGTTTTCATTTTGCTTTATTCAAGGAAACTAGCTGCGTTTAAGTCGATGTGAAAGACTGTTCGCCACCCGTTTATTTCTGTAAGATATGCAGTTTTTATTCCTGATGGATAAAATCACATCTGTCCAAAATTTTATCTCACTGAGTATCACTCTCCACAGATCAGGCTGCAAACAGCAATTCACATTGACTTTAAACATACTTTTAACATACACTACTGATCAAAAGTTTGGCGTCAGTAAGATTTTTTTTCTCTCTTATGCTTAAGATTTTATTTGATGAAAAATGTAGTAAAGATAGTAATATTGTAAAATATTATTACAATTTAAAATAACGGTTCTCTATTTAAATGTTTTACGATAGATAGATAGATAGATAGATAGATAGATAGATAGATATACATACATACTCTGTAATATATTACTCTAGTCTTCATGATCACACGAGTCACATGATCCTTCATGAATCATTCTAATATGCTAATTTGATGATCTAGAAATATTTCTTATTATTATCAATGTTAAAAACAGATTAATATTTTGTGGAAACAGTGATAAATTTTTTTTCAGGAATCTTTGAATAAAAAGTTCAATAGAAAAGCATTTATTTGAAACAGAAATCTTTTGTAACATCATAAATATTTTTCTGTCACTTTTGACTGATTTAATGCGTCTTTTCTGAATAAAAGAGAAAAAAAAACAATCTTGCCGACCTCAAACCTTTTCAATGGAAATGTGAATATGCATAAATGCACATTTGACATAAATCTGATGTGTTAACTCAATCTGACTCAAAAACGGAGCTCAGAATTGAGTCATGATTAAAACATGATCTGCTCTCCTTAAGTTTTTTGAATGTTCAAACTTATTAATGTTGACAGGACAGCTGAATCACAAGGGTAAAGCTGAGACAGAGGAGCACATTGTGCATATATGTGTGTGTGTGTGTGTGTGTGTGTGTGTGTGTGTGTGTCATGGAGTTCACAGGTGCCAGGTGTGAGGGGTTTACCTGGATCTACCTCCTCTCATGCTAATAGAGAATCAGCTCAGCCAGTGCTGCACTGCTTAACCAGACACCAACACACTCCAGCAGTAAACAACAGCAACACTGCTGTAAACACTTGCTGAATAACAAACAATAGCTCACACTGCTATAAATGACAACTGAATAAAGAACACTGCCAGCATTGCCAAAAATACTAGATCCTACTAGAACTAGAACACACTTTAACTAATCCTGCTATATAATTACTGAACATTACCAACATTTCCATAAACAATACTGAATGCTGACCATTAAAGATCAAAGCACAACTATATGAATGCAATAAACAAGCTCGATTCCACATGCCATCGTGTTTTGTGTTCAAATGCAATTATTCACAGTGCAACGAAGGGATTCAGCCTAACCGCTTTGATCCAAAATATTTACCTAAAGTACCACTTGAGATTATAAAATCATATTTTAATCATTTAACAACACATTGGCTTGTTCATGGTACTCAGATATTGTTTAATGGTCACAAGACATGCAGACAAACTAAATATTTATATATCTTTTTTATTTAGATTGTTTTTATTTTAAAATTATGTTTTTTAGGCTCCAGCCCAGTGATTCTGCAGAGGATAAGCGGTATGGAAAATGGATGGATGGATGTTTTGATTAATTATTATCCTTTTGTCAACTCACAAAATTCAGTTTGGGAAACCCTGGTATGACGCAAGCACATTTTGCATTCTCAACATTGCCACAAGGGACACTATAGCAAACACAAGCATAAAATGTCTGCTTCTATGGTAATGATTGTCATTTAGATCAACTTCTGACTGCAGTTTAATGGCACAGATATTTAAAGATTATAAGATTCATGACAATTCTGAACACTACCCTGATCATCAATACACAATCTAACATACACAAAACATGAATATAAGCACAAACTAGCGACCAAATTCACATTGAATCAAAGTGATAGTTCACCCAAAAATTAAATCTATGATCTATGATCATTTACTCACCCTAATGTTGCTTAAAACCTCTATGATTCATTCACAAATCAGACATAAATAGTTATCTTAATAACTGTGCAAGGTCGATATCAGGATTTTAAGTGGATAATATCTTAAATTCCATAACGTCATACAAGTTTGGACCAACATGTAGGTTAGCAAATAATGACAGAATTATCATTTTAGGTGAACTATGCCTTTAAAATGTAATATTTTTAAACCTGCTTGTTCACAAAATGAACAAAAACTTCAACTCACATTAAATTATTTCTCCTCACTCGCATTAAAGTTAAGCACAGACACAAGAATAAAACTCCAGAGAAACGGAGCACTAGAAATCCAAAGGATTATAAGACTACATAAGTAACAGGATTATGCAGGTATCGGAATCCAGGACTAGAGCTTTATGGAGTCGTGTCTGTTGTGAAATCTTTATGCTGAACAGCTCTGACTGACACAAACGAGCACAAGACTGAAATATAAACATGCTTGTATCAGTCTGCAAAGTTAAGAGCAGCATTCAGTGTGTTTATCTTCACTCTTGAGTCTCTGTTCTCACACTCGTACCGCTTGGGGCACGCTGCCCATCAGTTCTGTGGTTTTTGTTTTGTTTATACTTTGATACATTTTGATTAATAACAGCTCAGGTTGGATGTTAAAGAGAAGAAGTTCATCTTAGATATGATATTAGCAGGCCTAGATGGAATTCCTCTGGGGAAATAAGGTATTTAAACACGGTAAAATTAGTTCAATTGAGCTAATGGAGAGTACTAAACACTTTATGTTAGTGGAATGCATTACTTAAATTAGCCTAATTATTTAGTAAATTAAAAACGCAAGAGGCAGCTTTAATGATTCTATATATACATAATTATCAGAAAACCGATTAAAGCACGCTCACAATCATAGATTGCAACAAATAAAGCCATTTAGGAAGACTTGAAAACAAGCAACACAAGAATATATCTGAGTTAAAGGCATAGTTCTTCCAAAAAATAAACAATCTTTAATCATTATCAACCCTCATGTCATTCCGAACCTGTATGACTTTATTTCATCATGTTGAATTTCTGATGAACATCCTGCAACTCTTTTAAATATAATAAAAGTGAATGAGTGCTGTCAAGCTCTGAAATGACAAGTTTCAGAGTTATAGGTTTTATAAAAGTGATCCAATTTACTTGACATTGTGAGAAAGACACTGACATTTTTACTGAAGATCTGTGTTCTTGAGAGTTCATTGAGTGAAGTAGAAGTGTCTGTAGTTTGGTTTTTTTAAGTTAGATCTCTCAATGATTCGTTCAGTGAATCAGACTGATTCAGTTCTCAAATTCTACTTACTGACTACACTTGCATGCACAAAAATATTCCAATATGAATCATGCAATATTCTGATTATAACTGAGTAATGCCACAATCGGATTGCCCGATTCAGTTTAATAATATTCTGAATCCTCAAATTCTGATTCCCACCCATATATATAGCATGCAAACATCATAAACATAAATATTGTAAACATATGTATGCACATGCAGTAAATATCATATTCAGAATATGGATGTAACCTGTATATAGGCCTTAAACTAAATTTGATGTGCATGAACATAGTCAATAATGTTGCCACAGCAGTTAACTTTATTTTCAGTGAATAATGGCTTGTGGTGCTTTGAGTTGTATACCCTACAATTAGTATACCACATTTATTAAACCTCTTTGTTTTTTGTTTTTTTGTGTCTTTAATAAGAGCCTCAGTCATTGCAAGTGCATGGAAAAGACCTTATAACTCCCCCATTTGCGTTTAACAAAAGAGACAAGTCATACAGGTTTGGAACGACATGAGGGTGAGTAAATGATACCAGAAATTTCATTTTTGGTTGAACTATCTCTTTAATTCATTCTGCCTTATGTGTTCAAAAGCAGACTGCAAACAGGTTACAGGTTCTTCTGTGTGGTTTATTCAGAGCACAGGAACACTCCCGTACCGTACTTGCCCCCATCGTCTCCATTGGCGTTGATCTTCTTGCCCAGGATCTGCACATGTTTCCCAGTGGTTCGGCTATAGAGCTGATATATCCGCACCTGCTTCCGACTCACGTCGTCTCTGGTGTGGTTCTCGATGTAGAACCGGAAGTCGGCGGAACTCTGGTGAGATTCCTAGAACCAGCAAGAACAAAATGTGTGTTGATCTATGTCTTGATTCAGTTTTACAACTGCATGCCACTTCTTCTGTGCTAAAAATCCTTTACCTAATTTGGTGTTCCTGGTCAAAAATGAATAAAAACCGCTTTTACATCTCTCTTTCTGCTATATTATTTTGTTTTTTTATTTCTTTTTGGAACTGATTAGTTGTAGGCCTCATTGATCTGGGCTGCTTTTCCTAAAAGCATCGTAAGCCTAAGTTGATCGTAGAACCATTGTCACCAATGGTTAATGATGCTTTTGGCTAAGGCAGCCCTGGTCTTATGCACTTCATTTTTGAATGGAAAAAAGCATTATTTTGGATAATTTGGGCAATGTTCACTTAAAAACTGAGGTGCATGGGCTCAGCTCAATCAGTTGCAAAAAGAAATACAAAACCTATGCTAACTGAAAGAAAACAAGTTAATAAAAAGTTTCAATCTAACAGCATAATAATACATTTCTAAACGAGTGGTTCGGCTATAGAGCTGATATATCCGCACCTGCTTCCGACTCACGTCGTCTCTGGTGTGGTTCTCGATGTAGAACCGGAAGTCGGCGGAACTCTGGTGAGATTCCTAGAACCAGCAAGAACAAAATGTGTGTTGATCTATGTCTTGATTCAGTTTTACAACTGCATGCCACTTCTTCTGTGCTAAAAATCCTTTACCTAATTTGGTGTTCCTGGTCAAAAATGAATAAAAACCGCTTTTACATCTCTCTTTCTGCTATATTATTTTGTTTTTTTATTTCTTTTTGGAACTGATTAGTTGTAGGCCTCATTGATCTGGGCTGCTTTTCCTAAAAGCATCGTAAGCCTAAGTTGATCGTAGAACCATTGTCACCAATGGTTAATGATGCTTTTGGCTAAGGCAGCCCTGGTCTTATGCACTTCATTTTTGAATGGAAAAAAGCATTATTTTGGATAATTTGGGCAATGTTCACTTAAAAACTGAGGTGCATGGGCTCAGCTCAATCAGTTGCAAAAATAAATACAAAACCTATGCTAACTGAAAGAAAACAAGTTAATAAAAAGTTTCAATCTAACAGCATAATAATACATTTCTAAACAATTTTTTGTAGACTGGTCATTTTTGACTGGGAACACCACAAGTGTAACAAGGTGGGGTAAAAAATCCCCGAAAAAGTAAAAAAATTATCACATTTTTGGGAATTTGTAATACGCAGTGTGAGTCAGTAAGTTTTAGTCCAATGCAACAACATTAAATAGCATTTTCGGCAAAAAGAAAATCATCTGTGTGTCAAATGGCATTAATAACTGATTTTACTTTCATCATGTCAAACAAGAGGATGGGATTTCATAAATTAGGAATTGACTGGAAAGTGTCCATTACATGCCAGAAGAGTGATAGTCGTTTCAGAGGAAATGCAATTTTTCATGTTGATGAAAAATTATGACAACACTTTTTTTTAGGAAAAACATGAAACAGTGATGAAACAGTCAAAATAAGACCACGAATGTGTACTGTGCACAAAGTAAACAGGGTCAAATTTTGATATCCTGTTGAATCAACACTAAACTGACATGGTTTGCATTGATTCTGTCATTAACTCCTGTGAAACTGCTTTGAAACAAACTGTATTGTACAAAGCCCTATATAAATAAAGGTGACTTGACTTGACTTAGTTTCAAGCAATAAAAAATTCAATGAAAGTTCAGATCACAGTGATTCCTGCATGTTTTGGTGCCCATCTCTCTCTCTCACTAAATAAAACATCTGAATACGCTGAGCCTGGAGCTACACCGAGAAGTCAAGTTTTCAATTTCCACAAGCAAGTCTCCAGCAATTATCCACCTGAAAGATCCAACTCTGTCATCAAACAAATATCTGCCTAAGGTAAGAATCACACTCATAAATCACACATACACACCTGTAAGTATGGGAAGTACATGTACACAACTGAAGACTGCTGCACTGCTACACACACACACACACAAACACATAAAACACTAACATAATAAAATGCAATATAACTTGCCATGGCATCTCCTGTCGCTCACATTCACAATCACCCGAGGCTTTATATGAAAATCACCAATCCACTTCTCATCCAATATCCTCCTATCTTTCCTCCTCCTCCTCTTCTCTCATCCTTCCATATGTGAGGAAAACATATACCTCTAAAAACCCTGGAATCTCTGTCCCAGCCAAGACTACTCTCACGGGTTGAAACTAGAGGTAATTATCCTGTAATGAGCTTTTATGTGGCTTCTCTCAGGTGGTTAATTACGCTCACATTACATGCTTCCACTCCATGTTATTTTAACCTCGGCTAATTAATGACATTTAGGGAGCATGAGGGGAAAAGCGCAGCTTATGGTAAAAAAAAATAAAAATCTTTTCAACAGAGTTGAGAAAGAAACTTCCATAGAGATTCATGCTGAATGCAAGACTGCTAAGAAATACATCAGCATGACACAACTGGCTAAATTAACCCATTAATCAGGCATTATTCAATCACAAATGAGAATCACTTCAAAACAATGTCATTATCCCATTTTCCCCAAGAAATAAAAAAGCAAAATAAGAGACTGAATATATTGATAAAAACACTACTTTATTTTTATTGTTGTCAATGTGGAAAAGAGTTGTGCTGCTTCATTTTTTTGTGGAAGATGTCATAACGTCATACAATTCTTTTTTCAGGATTCTTTGATGAATAGAAAGTTCAAAAGAACAGCATTTATTTGAAATACAAATATTTATAACATTATACATGTCTTTACTGCTACTTTTGATCAATTTAATGCATCCTTGCTGAATTAAAGTATTAATATCTTTAACAACAAAAAAAATATTTATAAAAATAATAAAATAAAATAAACACATAAAAATAAAAATTTTACTGACCCCAAACTTTCGAACGGTAGCATATATCTTTTGATAAATATACTGGAGAAGAAATATTGAATGTATGCTATAATAAACAAAATCACAATGGCATTTAGGGCAGTCATATAGAATAACGCGAAAAGGTCAAAGGTGATCATTCATAGTGGTTTGAATGTAAAATTACATCCTGAATCCTCAAAGTTAAAAATAACTTTTAAAGACCTGGACCACTGCAGCAGACAACATGCAGTGTTCAACAAACCAAAAGACATTTCACAACACAGCCTAGTTGTGAAACAACTATAAACATATTATTTGAATTTAGATACCCTAATTTCAGTCATTGTTATACATTTTATTTTCCTAGATGAATACATAGATTTAACACAGAATCAAGTTTAATTCTAAGCTCTTGGCCAATTTCAGCTCACAAAAAGCACACACACATACGCAACTCTCGCGCACACACTCTCAGTCTCTCCTGAGGATTTACTCTGGAAATCTGGCCATCTAGTCAGACACAGAGGTGTGTTTTGTAGACAGTTGCGTACGGACGGGAGCGGGAAGGCAGAGAGGGCATGCCTATGCAGGGAGCGAGCCACGGCCAAACATTTTTATCACGCCACCCAACTCCCTTCAAAGCCAACCTAGGCAAATGAATCTCACGGCGACTTCAAAAGCCCGGCCCCGTCCCGAGCACTCTTGCATGTCAGATAGGCCCTATCTACAGACACCACTCTCTGTGCAGGATGCATCTCAGGAAACAACGCTTCAGTGCACCGCCACTTAAACTGTGCTTATCGCGCCGTCTTTCACTGCATCTCCTTAATAACAACTTTGTTTGTTTTCTCAAGGAGAACCTACAACAACAGCGAAGGCCTCGGTTAGCAGTAGAAGCAAGTGATACTTGTACTCTGTCTATCAATGACCTAAAGAAGAACTACTGTCATCACTGCCACAGAAAAGCCTTGTTTGTGCCAACTGCTTTGGAACAAAACTGAACGCACAGAATTATATAACCAACATGGGTCTCGTTTTCTTCAAAGCGGTGGTTTTTGTTCCTGGTTTGTGCGGTGATCGCCCCCTTCTATTACGACATTCTGATGCAAGTTTTATAATCACAAAGCATTGACCCATTTGCCAGGAGAAAAAAGGCTCTCATTAAGCCGTTCCCGTCTTGTGAGGAATGTACATCTGTCAGTAAAGACGAATTTAAGGAACTGCAGATATCTAATTACTTATGTGTTAGGTATATTTTGTCGGCTGAATTCAAAGGATTAGTCACCTTCCTCGAAGTCTTGGGAGAGTCTGAGATTGCAGCTAGTCTTACCTTAACAGCTTTTAAAAGGGAAAAAAAAATTGGCCACTTCTTAGCCTCTTTAGATTTATTACTTTGGATGCATATAGTTGGTGTACACTGTATATGTATATACTTGTATACACTTGTATATACTTAAAATATTATTTAATTTAATGGTGTATATATATATATATACTGCTGTAGCAAATATGTTATACATTATTGTGGGGTTTTATTCAATCTAATCTTAATTGTATTTAATATGCAATTGATTTAATTTCAATTTAATTTTAATGTCAATGTTCATCCTCCAAAAAATAAATATTACACACACACACACAAATGCATTTCATCTCCACTAAAAGGTCACTGAGTTCATAAACAAAATTTAAATGCACATATTGCTTATTTTAGTATTCAGCGTGAAATCAGTCAAAACATGAGTTTACTAACTATCCTGAATGAAATAATTATGACTACTTATGAATTACGAGATTCATGGTCAAACACAAAAAAAGCACAAAAGGAAAACCCAGACTTTTAGAGACAAAGAAATTCAATTGCTCTGGCAAGACCACCAAAAGAAATTCAATTCCTCTGGCAAGACCACCAACATATCCAAAGAGTCTTTTTTATTATTATTTTACAGCCTCTGGGGTGTAGATTTCCCATGCCTCTGTTTTCAAAAACCTCAAGACAACAAATTAAACAAGCTTTGTGTTTGTGCACCGGCGGCACATCCTCATAATCCCTGCCTTAATCCAGATTCATGAAGACAGTGAAACAGCCAGACTTACCTGCAACTGGAAATAGAGGACCAGAAAATGTAAACACCTGGAAAGAGAAAGAAAGAGAGAATGAGAGGGAGAGACAGAAGGGAAGTAAGGAGGGGTGAATCACAAGCAATTACACCAGATAAAAATGTAGCAGTTCATCTTAAACCTGGCTTTGAGCGACTTCTATTGGCAAGAATGTACGAACTCAACGTGAATCAAATAAAGTATTAAGAATATTCCTTACACGTAGATTAACCTTGACGGCAGACCAGACATCTTGGTCAAATACACCTGTTTCCAGCGTTTGCCGCTCCAGTAAGTGCCGCGCGGAGCCCCGCCACTGTCTCACACACAAAATCCCGGAGGAGAGGTGCAATCCCAAGGCAAAGAGAGATGAAGGAAGTGTAAATGTGCCACTGGAAGCAGCATGGGGCTGTTTCTGGTTTGAAAAAGAGCTGAATAAACGCAAATCAGTGTCTTCCCCGTGGTGTCCCCGCTTCTCCGCGGTCCGCGCGCGCTGCGCTCTCTCGCCAAAGCGCGCAAAGATTGAATTGGTAAGACAGGCTGAAGCGGGGTGTCTCCTCCTCGGTGAACAATCCGCGACCTTTAGTGCTTACTCTTGATCCAGTATGCGAGATGAAAAGATAAATCCCGTTCGTACCTGCCGAAGTCACCTGGAAGCGCACACCTTACGTGGATCATTCCAAGCTTCCCGTGTCCATTGTTTGGAGGGAAAACTTTCCCAACAAGTCAGGATAGATGAGTTACGGTTAGAAGTCTCTCCTTTAGTTGTTGCTTCACTGTTATCCGAGTCGTTTGTACATAAAAGGCGCACAGAGCCGTGGCAAATCCTGGAAGAGCGCTGGGTGATGGTACGGGACTGTCTGTATGTGTGCCGAGGAGGGCTGGAGCGCACTGAGGGGTTTTGGGTTGGTGGTGGGTGGAAACCTGTCAGTGGTTTTGCACCTGATAGGGTGATCTGAGAGAGTCCATCGGAGCGCGGAATGAGCCTTTCCTCTGTCTGAGCGCAGTTTCCTTTGCGCTTCTCGTAGTTTCTTAAACTCTTTCGTCGATTCGATGGGGATCTGTGAGAATTCCTTGCGGATTTCACATACGAACTCGTAAACAGGTGCATTTCAGTTGAGCAAAACCAGACACGCGGTGTTGAGATAACCAAATTCTCATCTGATGGGGTAAAGAGAAAGAGGCGTTACACTCACTTTTAAAAAAAGTTTAAATGCATACTACCGCTGTTGATAATATAATATGAGCCAAGGTCATTAAGTTTCAATAAATTATTAAATAAAAACATTCTTATAATGAATATAATAGTATCGATTAAAATCATAATAATCATTAAAATAATTAATCATAAATTAATTCTTGGATCAAAGACAAATAAGGATGTCAGATATGATAAAAGCGAGAAATGTTTTTAAAAATCAGGTTTTTAAACACATGCCAAGTACTTAAAAATGTAATCTTTATGTCCATGATGGTTTCATTCATTTTTGTAAAAAAAAAAAAAATTACAATTATTTTAATTTTGTGAATCTAAAAGTTGTGTAAACTTATATATACAATATATATTATATTATACATTTTATTACAAAAAATAAATATATATAAACATTTTATATTTATACTTTATATATTTATTCATTCTTAATTACCTTGGCTCACTGTCTTTGTTTAACGATTTTCATATCACATGACAACCAAATGGCTTTCTCATTCAAAAAAAACAAAACAAAAAAAAATTATAAATAAATCTGTATTTATTAGTTTGAGGTAGAGGTGTAAATTAAATCCCTAATATATAGTAGTTAAAAATGCAACAAAAGTATTTTTTTAAGTATTTAAAAAAAAATTCCATTTACTGATTACCCTCATTCAGCTCGTTTGTCGACTTCCCAAACCTGAAAGTGTTTAATTGTTGGAGTTTGTTGATTCCTCTCAGACAGTATTGAAATGCAAGTGCTTGTCGAACTCGAATTTTCAATATTGTGCTATAAGTCATCGGGCATTGAAATGCATCAGAGGTGTGAATGTGTTTACAAGGTCTTCTGAACATGCCCCCTGCCAGCTGCAAGTTTATTCCCCCAACAGCCCTTTTCTCAGCAGTGATCAGAGAAAAAAAGAAACATTTACTCATTTACATTACTGCTTTTACGTTTTACCGTACTCTTATCAGTTGCACAGAATTAACTTACAAAGCACAGCTAAGATTTATTTTAGAGGTTAAAAACTAACAAAGCATGTGGTGTAAAACAACATGGTCCAGTTGACATTTTTGCTTGTTCAAACTATTACAAACAACCTCAGACTGTGTTGGTGTCCAATACATCTATTATGAATCTGATGAATTACTTTAAAGTCTAGCCTAGAACATCACATGCCATAAGAAGGTAGTCAAAAAACACTTCATCAACACCAAATTAAATCCTATTGTTCTTTTTTTCTTCCTTTTAGCATGTGCTCTTTCTTGTTTTGCATGCATTTTTTTTAATGCATGCAAGCTCCATCTATACGCCAAAATAATAAAATAACGTATAAAAATAAAACACTAACCTATAAATCAGGAAGGCTGATGTCGAGTGAAGTGAATTTCCTTTGAAGTGGATCACCTGGACCATGCTGTAAGCTCACAATTATCCATTTGGGAACAACCAAAACAAAAGCGGTTTCAATAAAGAAGCGAACACAAAGATTAGTCCGTCATCATCCAAATAAGATCAAGGGAGGCTTTGGCAATATGACAACCTACAGAACATTTCCTGCAACAAGGCCGAGATTGGGACGCGTAGATCTAACGAATAGGAAGTTACACTCTGGCATTCTCTTGAATTCGGAAGTGGCTAGATCTTTCTGAATATTCAAAGCTTTGGATACCGCATCTGTCTTACAGAGTATTAATTATTCACGTGGCAGATTCCAAGTGCAACTTGTGCTACAGTGAGGGCCAAATGCATTTGTCTAGTGTGAAGCACAGACATAGTTGTGTTTAAATTGTCTTTGTTATTTATTAGAATTGCACTACTTGGAAGAATAAAGACAAAACGAATGAGCGATAGATTCCAGCAGTTATTCCTGGGAGAGCTGGAGAGGTCTACATCACACTTTTAACTTGTGAAAAACTGCTAAACCTTAAAGTGGGTCACACTTTGTATGTGCAGCGGTTAAGTGGACTGAGGAGTGATTTAACTAAACAACAAAGGATCATTAGTCAAAGCGGCTTAATGACAGGATAGAATGCATTAAAAAAAGATAAATATGTCAGATCAAGGCATTCTGCACAAAACCAAGGCCTAAAAAAATAATAAAAACAGTGTGTCCTCGGTGCATCGGTGTAATGAAAGTTAGCAACACTGTGCAACTTCTGTGTCCCTGAAGCTTAATAAAGCAGGCAAAAAAGGTCACGCACAGTTGTTCAAAGGCTTTACAAGACCTTTTAAAGCTTGACAGAGTAACTTCACAGTTCTGGAAGTAAAGCCCAGTATACCACATTAGTGTCAGAACACCTCCGACACACCCAGCTTCCTCCCTGCTTCCGCTTTCATCTCTGACACAAACGTTTAGATGGAGGGAGTCACAGCATCTGTGTCCTATTGAATTCAAAGGTGATGGAGAGACCTAATTGGCTGATTGATATCTGATGGGCTTTTTTTGTGAAGAGAAAGAACTCTATCAGTGTCTCACACAATGGATTAAAAGGTTTATCTGTAAACAAAAGTAAAGCAAAAACAATTTACCTGTTTTTACTATGCATAACACAAATGTAAACAATTTATTATTTTTTTTGCATTTTTTCCCTCTTACTTCGTTCACATAATAATCATTCTCACCATAATTTGAAATCATTTTTAAAATAGTTTCTAATATTTGTAATACTCTTATAATTTGGGTACTTTTTTAATAAAAATTTACAAATGTACGCTTTTAAGATCCAGAGATTTTAAACTGCATCTTTATTCATTTAGTGTCATAATAAATGTGATATCAATATATAATGTAGTATTTTTGAGTTATAGAATTTTTCATTACACAGCTATGTCCTAACTATTCAATCTCTATTCAACATTGCTGTTTTTAAATCACTTATTAGCAAGGTAGAATAAAAAATGGAAACTCTATAATGTCAACTACCTGCTACAAATACATAGAATTACCACGTGCGAAAGTTGAGTAGCAAAAAATTATTTTTTTCTTAGTGTGATGAACATTTCAATAACATAAAGAACTTTTTTCCACTATAAAGAACGTTTTGTGCCATTGGTCCCATGGATGGTAAAGATTCTGCATTAAACCATTGATACTAATAGAGAGTCTTTATTTTTAGAGTGTACATTAGAAAGACTGTGGCTACAAGAACATTTAAAAAATACAAAAAGTTCCAAGAGACTCAACTGGCAGCATCATTCATGAGTTTAAAATGTATTTTACCACAGAAAACTGTCCGAGTTGTGCACAAAAAGCATAATTTATTCAAGGTCAATGAGACGTTGGATCAGCTGAGGAAAAAAAAACCTTATTTGTCAAAGACTATAAAAACACTAAACAAGCATGGCCTTCATGCCTGGACACCTCGCTGAACTAGCACTCTTGACTAAGAACATCATAAAGGCCGACCTAACTGAATTTGGATATACCTGAGTATGTTTTAATGAGTAGTGAGACCAAACTGAAATTTCTGAACCCATGGATCAGCGGTATGTCTGGTGCATAAAAAGCAAGGTTTATGACCAGAAGAACACCTTCAACACCATGGTCAACCTTGAAATCTTGACTGTTTGAAAGACATCATGAATTCTTAGAAGTATCGGAGCATTTTGGCAGAGAATGTCATACCTTCAGTGTACAGACTGAAGCTTGATAATCATTGGACTCTTGCAGCAGGTCAGTGATCCCAAGTATGCATCCAAATCTACCAAAACCTAGTTTAGATATTGGTCCTAGAATGCTCTTAAGTGGCCTGCTCAGTCTTCAGATTTAAATCTCACTGAAAATCTTTTGTGGGATTTGAAGAAAGCAGTGGCAACACGGAAACCAAAGATTATCAGTGATCTAGAAGCTTTTTGCATGTGAGGAATGGGCTCAGATTCCAGTTAAGAGGTAACAGAAGTTTCTAAGAACTTAGAGGCAATGTTTGGAGGTTATAAAGTGTAAAGGATTCTCTACAAAACATGACTTTTTTGGGGGTTAAATATGTGACCCTGTCTGTGAAATCCAGGCTAAAGTCTCAAAATCTAATTATGAGATAACAAGCATCAAAGTTTGATTTCAACCATTAATTTCACTGATTTCAATCTTTGACGTGGCCTTAGTCAATATTAAAGATATAAAGGTTATTTTCACAGAATGTTCTTTATCTTTATGAAGGATGATTTTATGTAGAAAACAGTAAATCACACACACACAAAAAAAAGACTTTAGCTGGGTTTTCACAGGCAGGGTCACATATTTGTGTACACTCTCAGAAAAAAGGTACAAAAGCTGTCACTGGGGCAATACCTTTTCAAAAGGTACTAATATGAACCCATTAGGTACTAATATGTACACTTTAGGAAGAAATATGTACCTTTAAGGTACTAAAATGCACCCTTTATAGGTAAATAAGGTACAAAGGTGTACCGTACTTGTGACAGCTTTTGTACATTACATGTTGTATATGGAGACAGTCTGAGTTTTATTTTTACTTTTGAACTGAGTAACTCAACTTTGCGTTCTCAGAATCACTCAAATATATATTAATGAACTTTTTGTTATAGTTTACTGATGCCATAGTTGGTGTTTTCTTTCAATTTTGTTTAGAACAGCCTTCCATCCACTGATCCATCCAATCCAATTGTCTAAATATGAAAAATTATAGTAAACATATTTGAAAAACAAAAGTAATTAATATTTTGTTAAATCTATTCATTTAGACAAACATAAATTACACAAAATTATGGAATATAGATAAATGTCTATAGATAGATTCCTATCTATCTATCTATCTATCTATCTATCTATCTATCTGCACAGCAATGGTCAATCCCAGGTTTCAAACCCCTGGTAGGTCGCTGTAGGGTCATATCGTGTCGGACTCTGAAGGTGACAGAGAGGGTGTGTGAGGGAATCAAAGCCTTGATGTTGCTTTGAGGGTGTGTACGCATTCCTAATTTGTCCCCCGTCACACGTCGACT